AAAGGCGAGTTTGGAAATACTGGAGGGCGATTGATTGTGTATCCAGCTGCTTTAACCAGCTGATCCAAGGTAAACCGTCCGCCGCGGAGGGGAGCGGAGCCACGGAGGGGAGCGGAGCCGCTCCGGCCCCGGCTTGCAGAGCAAGGAGAGGAGCTGATGGTCCTTGGGAGGATGAGGAGTCGTGCTGAGCAGCAAGGAGCTGCCGTCGCAAAGGGTGGCCACTGCTCCCCGGAAGGGCACCGCTGCCAGCGCCGGCAGGGGCTCGGCAGGGGCTGCCTTCCCCCAGGGAATGGTACCGTCCACGCTTTGGGTATTTCACAAACCGCTGTCATGCTCTATCGGTGTGACTCCCCTCCAGAGCCACCCAAAAACGTCATCCCCAAAGCTCCTGCTCTGCAGTATGGGAATGCAGCCCGTGGGGCGAGCCTCAGCCCCGCCGTCCAGCGCTATCGCCTCCTCTTCCACCCCTAAAAGGGGCGCTGGGGTTGGCTAGCCCTGCCTGCTAGCCCAGGAAGACTGGAATAGTGCCTGGAGAGGATGGGAGGGGGGAGTAAGAGAAAAAGGAAACAAAAGCAGCACAAAAGCAGCAGAAGCAGCCCTGAGATGGGGCTTCAGGCCAACAGCCAAAGGGACAGTAAAAATCCACAGCATCTGGTTCACTAGAGCTACTTCTCAGGATCCGCCTCCAGAAGTACTCGCTAGGAAGAGCCATCTAACATCAAATGTAGGAGAAGGATAAATACACGTAGAAGATCGCATGTCTTGTTAAAATTAAAAAAATGTTTCACAGGAGAGGTCTGGAACCCACAAAAACCTCATCATCTGCTTTTGTAGACTGTAGAGACTCAGTATCTGGAAAAAGGGGTGCAACAGCATTCACTGCAGGCGACAGCTTCACAGATGTGGATTAGTTAGGAGGAGCTGCGATTGCTGTGTATAAAATGCCCAAGCTCTCCTGCAGCCTAGTTGGTTCCTCCGGTGCGCCTGAATCATAGAAATAGGAAGGAATTAACCTAACTAGAAGGAAGAAAAAAAACTAATAACTAAATAAACTGAAACTAACTAATAGGAAGGAAAAAAACCCAAATTCTTTCAGAATCCCACTGTCCACAGAGGTAAGGGAGCACTCTGCTGATGAACCCCTGACTGCACCACATCAAAGACAGTAGCTCCAGGTAACACACTGCCACGTACGCAAGCAGCAGTGATGCTTGCTTTGGTTTTTCATCCCAACATTTGTATCAGGTTTAGAACAGGTTTAGTTTTATGTGCCAGCCCACCCTGGGCAACTCCAGAGCTTCCAGCCCCAGCTCCACACCTTCTTGCCCAGTAACATGCCTGCCGAGCTCCGGGTCGGTGCCAGGTACAGCAGAGCAGTCACGCCCTCTCTTCTCACTCAGTGCGCAGGATTAGCACCAGCAGCTATTTCAACTACCTTCAGAAGAATCCAGAGAAGGTTTTCAGCCCTTCTTCAGTGTTATTCTGGAAATAGATTTCAAAGCACACTGACAACCAGTGCACTACTTCGCTTTTGAATATGGTACCATTTGTCCCAGTGTTGGCCCCTGTAGGGCTCCACGAGAGGGTCCCGACTGCAAACATGTGCATGGCATTACGGATGCTATCAGCACGCACACCACTAAGCAAAAGCACAAATATTTCTATTAAGGCATTTGTACTATGTGTAGTATCAGCACTTCAAGACATTGCCCTCGAAATACCTTATCCACTTAACACAAAAATCCTGAACACTCCTGAACAATCCTGAACATTCCCGCTCAGGGGGGGGAATGGCGGGCCGAGCCTGTGGAAAGGCTAGCGGTACACCTGGCTGCGTACAGACCTCCCTGCCGAGGTGAACGCCGCGCTGCAAGCTGGTGTGTTCAGCCTTGGCCAAAAATCATGGCCATCTGACATTGCCTCTTTCCCATCCCCAACTCCCTTGGTTGCTGGAAACCAGCCCTACAGACTTGCTCTGGAAGAGCCTAGGACAAAGAGCAAGGGATTTTCACAGCAAGAATTAGGCAGCACAAGAGATTTTATTTTGCTTAAAATAGAGAGGGAAAAAAAAATAAATACAAACCCACAATACAAAGAGCAGTTTCCAAATTAATGTACTTTTCTTTCAAGGACATCCTCTGACTGGGAGAACAGAGGCAGTCTGACCCCTCAAAGAGCTCCGCCTGACAGGAGCTCTGGGGCATCGCTGTACATGACCAGTGCATTCAGTCTGACATTTAATGTAAACCAAAGCAAACTGTCATGTTTAGTCCTCTGACTCCGGTGCCTCCCCGAGAAGCCACGGACACCTCCGCATATGTACAGTGCATTTACTCCTATATCTCCAGGACACAGGCAATTCCCACAGGACTTCCAGGCCCTGCTCCCTCTTCAGCGAGAGCATCAGCCCACATTCTGCCGGTTACCATAGCCTCTTGGGTGCGTATCTTTCCAGTCATCCCAGTCCCGAGCTTTTTGAAGAGCTTCCTCATCCTCCTCCTCCTCCTTTTTCTCCTGCTGTTGCTTCTGCAACTCTTCATCAGCTATACCTGCTGAAGGTCAAGAACAGCAGTAAGGGGCAGTAAGACAGAGGAAGATCCCTAGTTAAGTTCTCAAAACAGAAGCCCTGCCAGGAGCCAGTCTAGCCAGAAAGCTGGAATTGCCAAGTAGTCGTCTAGCAATCCAGTTATTCTCACAGCCTAATAGAAGTCAGCTCTTACTCCTCCTTAGTCAGCGGGTGTTTTACTGCCTCAACACACCCCTGTTCACCCTCCTCCTCAAGAGGCTTCCCAAATTCTCTATGCCAATCTTTGCTTTGCAACTCCATACCTGGTGTTCTCTGAGGCACACTCTGACCAGACACAACCCCTTGCCTTCTGCGCTGCTCATACCAGTCATCCACAGTCATAGTAGGCAGGCCAGGATATCCAGCACCAAACACTCTACAGGAAGAGAGACAGTCAAAGGTGGCACTTTACATCACTACAAATGAGCAGAAACATAGACAGTCATGCCCAAAACTACTCTGTGATCCAGCCTGTACTAACAGTATAAAGCATGTTATCAAGGAGGGCTTGAGAACAAACATTATTTCTACAGCCTGGGCCATCAGCCACAGAATTGCCAGTAGCCTAGCCATAACGGCATTTAAAGAGTTCATCCTGTTCATTTAGAGACATGAGGACTGTTCAAGTCCAAAGACCTTGAATCACTTCTCCAGCCCCAAGGAGCACAATACTGCTAGCAGAGGTTGCCAAGGAGGCCCCTGGGAACTGAATTAAGCACAGCTTGGCTGAATAGATACATTGGAGGCTCAGGGAAAATAATCACAGAATCATTAAGGTTGGAAAAGACCTTTAAGATCATCAAGTCCAACCATCAATCCGACACCACCATGCCCACTAAACCATGTCCTGAAGTGCCAGGTATACATGTTTTTTGAACACCTCCAGTGATGACGACTCCACCACCTCCCTGGGCAGCCTGTGCCAATGTTTGACTGATCTCTCAGTAAAGATGTCAAAAGCAAGACCAGAAATCTGTTTTCTATCCCATTTTGTGCTTTAGCTGCCATATTTCTTGCAAGGGCCTCATGGTGCCACAAAGTGTTAAGATCTTGATACCCCAGGGAGAGCCTTACAGTTAAAAACTGTATTATTGTGACTGATAATTCTCTGGTTGGTATCACATCTTCCCAGTGCTAAGATCACTTACTTGAAATCTTCCAGAGTTTACATCAGATTAAGAAACCACATGTGCTTTTCAGTGCTGGGCTCTTTATTTTAAGAATGAAGAACAATCCTGTTATATTACATGGAGAGGGGCAGATAAGCCTTGCCTCGCCACAGCTTACCAAACAGCAAGCATGTGGCCTATAAACTAACACAGTTAGTATTTGCTTAATACAGTCTCCTCTTCTGCCATCAAATAGGAGGAAACAGCGTTAACCAAGACACTGCAGCATGCTGGTAATGAAAAAAATTAGAAAAAAACGGAAGAAATGCATTAGATGTTCCCCATCCCCTGCCCAGATGCACGACACGTGCCCTCTTGATGCGACACGCTGCCTGAAGGTAATGGCTGGTTTTCTGCATTTGAAAGAGTATCTTAGGCTCAACATGAGAACAGAGCACTGCATCATACTGTGTCTAAATAATCAGAAAACAACATACTTAGCCTGAGCAGCATCCCGGGTAAGAATGAAAGGTTTCAATGGAGCCCTGACTTGCCGAGAAGTGCCGTGTGGTGGTGCTGAAGACTGAAGATGCAAACAATAATCACAAGATAATCGTGTAGATGAGAACCCCCTTCTCTGCTTCCCACCCCAAATTAAAGGTCTTCTAGAAGAGAAATGCCTCTGCTGTCCCAAGGTGGACAATTCAGGCCTTAATCCTGTTTAAATCATGAACTCCATCTGTAAGATTCTACAAATCACTTCTCTTTGTGCCTTTGCTACACCCTTTTCTGATCAAAGCACAAAGCTGACAGAGCTAAACCAGATCAGCTCAGATCAAAGCATGAAATACAGCTTATTATTTTTCACAGGGATCAGATGCAGTACATTCTGAAGCAATTAGAGCTCATCACTCCTGATGCTATCACCCAGGTCACTACAGAGGAGCAGAGTTCTGCAACGGCAATAATGAACTGCACAAACCAGCTGTGCCAAAGCTGGACTGTGGTCTACATCAGCACATTATGATTTTTTACTTCTAGACAGACATTTTAGGTGAGTCACATAAATCCCAGAAACACTATTCTACATTGGAGTTGCAGGTCTACAAGAAGCTTTCAGCATTCAGAACGGGCATTTCTTTCTGTAATGTCTAGACACTTTGTAGACCAGAAGCGTAGGCTTGAAAGAAATCAGAAGGGTCTTCTTTCAATTTACAAATATACTTAGGTCTTTAGAATTAAGTGTCTGGCAGAACCCAGCAAAGTGGAGAAACGCCTCTGCACGGAGTCTGGTTCAGCTCCGATACTCAATGCTCTAGCATTTCACAAGCCATGAATGCCTAGAACATGTGGTAGCACCAGACAGTGACAAATCCAAAAATCAGACCACTGCCCATTCAGAACTAAACCAAACCCCACCTGCTTGTTCTGTCACTGAGCTAAAGTTCAATCGGGAATTCACAAACTAAAACTTATAAAGCTCTGCTATTGAATTCCTCTGAGGTTCATTTACCTGCAACAGTTCTATCATCAGGTCTAACTACCCAGAGTCCACAGGACCTGCAGTGCAAGAGAGATCTCATACCTGTTTCGCTGCACCTCTGCTCCTCAGGATGACCATTTCTTGGTCAATGCTCTCAATTTCCTCAAGGCTGGTGTTGATCCATTTCTGGATTTGTAGTATATAAAATTCCCGTATCTGATCCTCATCTGCTTGCCCGCTCTCTACAAAGGTTCTCATAGAGGCCAATCTGTTTTCCAGTTCCTTCTTCTGCTTATATCTGTCTCAAAGAGAACAAAATGAGATCATTTAGATAACCTTTCTCTAGCACAGCCCAGATACAGTGTTTTCTAAAATAAACCAATTCCTATTTCTTGAAATTCAATCAAATGTAGTCAGAGAGCTACCTCCTGTCCCAATCTTCTTTTAACTGCTCTTCATGGAGGTGCCAGTTGCTGACCAGTGCTCATTAGGATATGCAAATCCCAGACATTCATAAAGCTCCTCAAGTCCCTCAAGACAAAACTCCTTGTGCGGGGAGGACCCACTCATTTAACAACCAAGTAAGAGTCCTGTAGAAGTAAAGCTGCGACTTACAGGAACGTACCCATTAAGAAGGGGAGGAGCACCACATCATACTGGTTGTCATTTACTGATGACCTCTAACAATGTGTAAGCAAGAGGCAAAATGCCAAGCAGGGATCCACCTCCCCACCTCATCTGACTGACAACAGGAGGTTTTTGACAAATGAAAACTACAGAAATTAGAAGAATTCCCACCTTCTTAAAAAAGGCTTTGAAAATGCCTTTTTTATATATATACATATACACACACACAGAGTTATATACATACATGCACCACCAAAAGAATCTTTTCCTCCCATCTTCCTCATCACTTCCATCTGTCAACTCAAATTTAGACATTACATTTGGTCTTTACTACTCTAAGAGGTTTAAACATGATTTCATGTATTTAAAAAGAAAAATTGTATACAAAAAGGGAGGTTCTGATGGTTTACTACTGTAATTTAAGTAGCTCCTGTCTGTTAAAAACAGCTTTAAGAAGACAGTTTAAATTTAGAGGGGCCTCTCAATTTTTTTTTCTGCTAAAAGGGCTGCAGTCCTAGAAAACTAAGCCTCCCACATAAAATCAGGCAAGCCTGGCAACACAAAACTCCTGGAGAAAAAGGAATTTAACTCATTGGCTCCTTCACTGAGAAGGCAAATGTAAGGGCTAATTTTTGCCTCTACATGACACAAAGATGTCAAGAAGCTGCTTGTAAGGCAGATTTAAAACACTTTTCCAATTTCTGTCTCGTGTGTTTTTGTGTGTGTATGTTCTTTTTAATATAATTTTGGCTTTCTGGACTTTTCGGACCTTTTCAGGAATTAGTTAAGGGGACACACATACACACTACCTATGTAATACACTTCCAGGTTAAATCCTTGTATCCCGCTTCCTTCAGTTACAGTGCCACCTGAAGAACGCACAGCAAGAACCAAGGATTAGAAACCTACGGGAGCTGAAAGGACAAGGAGCATACAAGACTCATTCTAAAAGAACAAACACATCCACAAGTGCTCCACAAGAACCCTGAAAAATATATCTTAACTGGCTGTGCACCTGACTGCCCAGCCCTGTCCTGCAGGGAAGCAAAGCAAACCACTCCATTCCCGTTTGTCTTTACACTCCACAGTGGGATAAGTCCTCTTCAGTTGGCCGCTGTAATCCCAACCTGCTCCCCAGAACACTGGATTGTGTGTTCATTCAGACAGCAAGGCTAAAGGCAGCTAGGATGAGACAGGTCTGGAGCCAAGGCGATGATACAGGCCTTCTTAGGTAAATTTTCTTCATACAGCCTATGCATGTTACTGAAAGCAAATATAATTGCAACATCTCACCCTGATCAAGTACTAACCTGCTTGCAACAGAACTCACAATGCAGGCACCTCCTGTTTGTCTTCATGTGGAAGGAGTCATGGTACAGGCAAACACAAGCCCTCAGTGAGAGGGGAGTCCATGCATAACCAAAGTCTTACCTGCAGTGCCGACAAAACCCATGCACACTTGGGAGGTGATGCGCAGCTCAGACTGCTGACAAGCAGCCTCCGCTGAAAAGGCTTTGCTGTGCTGACCCCAAAGGTCCTGATGTATTCTAGTGTCCTAAACCCATCTCAGTTAGGTTATTCTCTAGAATCTAAATTATTTTTTTTTCATTCATGCAATTTAAACAGCTCTCCAGACCAGGTTGGGCCTTTCAGTGCTACCACAATAAGCAACAACTTGAGTGTCAAAATCCCCAACTAAAGCATGGCAAAGCAGCATCAACCATCTCTTTTTAAAAGATCTAACAAGCACATTGGTAGGTAACTTCCAATGTGGGTGGCTTTACACTGTTAGCAGCGATTAAAGAATTAATCATAAGAGCTTTTGTGCAGTTCTTCAAAGACCAGAAACTAAAGACATAAATGCACCTCCCCAGTCTGCACACAATCCAACACCATGAAATAATGCACGGTGCCTCTCTTAAAATGAATGTTTCATGATCAAACTATCCCAATACCAAGGGAAGCAGTTCTTTCCTGACGGTCCTTGGCTGTACAATCTCGCGCTGCCTAAGGCTCTTCCCTTCTCTTAACTTGGTTCTCAAAAGCCTTTAAAGACCTCAAAGCAAGAGCCTACCTTTCAATTTTGGCTTGCCTACTTGACGCCATGGCCAGCAGGCTGGGCTGGGCGGCAGCAGGGCCACCCTGGGACAGACTCCTGGCATCTTCCTCTCCTGGGGGGCTGGCAGTGGCGGCGGGCAGGTGGAAGCTGCCCAGCCCGTAGCTCCTGCAGAGCTTGAGGAAGCGCCAGAAGTGGGCCCGAGCGCTCTCCAGGTGCTCCAGCCTCCTGCTCAGGTCGACCTGCTTCAGCGTCAGGGCCCCGAGCAAGGCGGGCAGCA